AACCAACCCTTCTGAACCTTGATCTTGGACTTCTCACTTCCAGAACTGTAAGAAAAATATACTTCTGATGTTTAAGCCGCCCAGTCTGTGGCGTAAGAAAAATATACTTCTGATGTTTAAGCCACCCAGTCTGCGGTACTTTGTTATGTAAACCCTAGCAAACTAATACATGTGGAAAGGAATACCAGAAAGAAAACTCCATGAGGGCAAGAATTTTTGTCTTTTTTGTTCATTGTTTTATCCCAAGCACCTACAACCATGCCTGGCACATAATAGGTGTTCAATAAATATTTGCTTTGTGAACTGATAAGTAAAGCAGATTAATAAAATTCTTGCCATAGATGACTCTATTAAATACCACCAATGTTTCAGTAATGCTTCTTATTTTCATAAGACCTGAGGACACAAACACCCAGTACTCTTACCAAGTGCTGTGGTGTAATTGGTCTGCTGCCACAGCCCAAATGTACAAAATCCACTGGTGAAACTCCTGTTATGATTCAGTTCCGGAGTAATTTCCTGAAGAACAGAAGAGCTAAGAAGACAAAAATGCTGCTGTAATACAATAAATGTGAATTAGTCCACACAGAGAAACAGATCAACCTAGTTAGACCCATCCTGGTGAAAATGCCACATACAGACATAGCTTGCTGGTACTGCTGTTCCCTCAAAAGCATTTGGTTAGCTGATTTCACTGCAGTCACTGTGAACAGCCTGGAATCATAATTTAAAGGAAAAGAAAATAAATAAGGACTTTTCTCTGTTGTTCTTAAAGCATTTCTTACGTGGACACAGGAAAAAGACTAATTAAATTTCCTTCTGACTTATTCAATTATGAATTCATGGTGCATGTCTGTCTCAAACCCATCTCCATGTCTTAATGTCATCACTGTCACCATCAATCAATACTTAATTTGGTACCCTGAATATGCTAGGGAAATAACAGCAAAATAAAACATGAAAGAAATACGGAATAAATACTCTGATTTTAACTTATATGCAAATATACTTTAAATAACAGCTAGATGAAAAATTCACCAAAATGATAATAGTTCTGTTAGAGGCAATAATACGAGAAGTAATTCTTTCTCTCTTCAAATTATTTGTAATTTCATATAATAAGTCTCAGTTTTTAAAGCATAAAGTTCTCAAAAAACATTCTAACTTCTAATCACTACTGGAAGAAATTTTAGGACTAGAAATTCCCCCAAAGGGAGAGGGTGATACAATAATATTTATTTTTAAAGTACATTTAATCAATACATTTATACATAATATGCATAAGAAAGCCAGAATACAACAGTTTCATGGGCAAGTGAAATTCAGCATTTTAAAATCTAAATCTGTAAATTCCCATCTATTCTGAAAGTAATCTAAAAATCAAGTCAAGTCTTGTTCTCAGTTTGGGGCCTGGAATTAGCTCCCGAACTGATGCAATCTGAAACCAGGGCCAACAAGTGTTTACCAAAGTCTTTGTCCCAAAGGGTGAAGCCTCTTTTCTAATTCTCCAGAAGTGATGCTGTTGGAATTGCCTTGAGAAATGAATCAACGCAGCAGGCAGGAGTACAAACATTAAATTCATTCTGAAATATTTTCCTTTCCAGCAAAAATGCAAGCTAAATACTTTTTCACAAATTGATTATGCAATTTGTAATCAAGCCCTCCTTAATTAAAAGTTTTAATTAGCTGCCTGTGCATTTGCTCCTCATTCCTGGGAACCGCGGCATAAACAGGAAGTTCATGCCTCTGGGGCTTATTCGTTATGGAATGGAAAAAATGAAGCTGTGGACTTTCTCCAGGATAATTTAGAGAGAAAGGATCATTAAATAACTGTACTCCCCTCCTTATCTTCTCCAGAAGGCTTATAAACCAAGTGACTGCACAAGTTGTACTCCACCCCCAGGAATATAAGCAGTTCTTTTCCACATGTGACTGGAGGTCAACTTGAGAGCTCTGCATTAGCCTTGAACCACACACTAGTGTCTGTACCCCAAAGCAACGATGATCAGCTACTCTCTTAACACCTGTTAACAATCGTGTGCGCTCCACTTTCTACCCTGACCAACACAAGGCTCCAGACCTAAAACTAGAGAGAAAGTCTACCATTTCAATTACCCAAACACCACAAAGTGATAGATATTACAAGGCCAAAGGGAGAACTTTGTGGTGATGGAATAGCTCTGTATTTGACTGTAGTGGTGGTTATACAAATCTATGCTTGAGACAAAATGGCACAGAACTATATATACATTTGCGCCACTGTCAATTTCCTGGCTTTGATACTACAGATAAGTAAGACGTAACTATTGGGGGAAACTGGGTAGAGGGTACCTATAACCTCTCTGCACTGCCTTTGCAACTTCCTGAGAATCTGTATTTATTTCTGCATGAAATGTTTTTAAAAGTGCACCTGCTTGTGTGCATCACCATACTTTGAACGGTTTGCATTCGGACAAGTTTTATCGAGAATAAAACACAGCCTGGTTTTCACAGGTGAGGTTTCAGCCACCACCCAGCACAAAGCGTGAGGTGGGGAATACTCTTGCCTGTGCTTTTCCCTCCGCCTGGAATTCCCTTTCCGACCTCCCGCCCCGCCAGTCCCCCTTCCCAAGGGTGGCTCCTTCTCATCTTTCAGGTCACACCTCAATGCCACCTCCTTACAGCGGCCTTCCCTTGTCCCCTTAACTAGAGTAGCTGCCCTCGGCTATCCTCTGGGTCCCCCGTGCCCTTCGTCGCGCTCTTCCCCACGTATAATGACTTGTTTACTTGCTTGTTACCTGTGTCAACTCCACGAGGGCGGGCCCCGTGTCTGCTCCTTGCCCGCTCTGCCCCTAGCAATGAGCACGCTGCTTGGCGACGGCAAGGGCTCGGAAAGGATTTTACTTGAATAAAGGGCACCACACTCCAACTCACTCCCTTGGGCTCGAGGGTGGTCGCGCCGCTTTCTTCCCCTCACACCATGGGTGCTCCCAGTCTAGGGCTGGGCGCGGCGCCCTCACTCTGGCCACACAACACAGGTGCCTCTCTGCCTCCTCCCTTCACTCGGACCCTACCCTGCCCAAGGAGGGCACCATTTTCTTCTAATTCGTCTGCCCAGAAGGTGCGCCTTTTTCTTCTTCGTAGCCTTTTCTAAGGCCATCCTCTCTACTCCCCACCCAGTCTCTTCAGCCGCAATTCCCAGCCCTGTGGCCTCCGCCCCTCCCTTCCGGCACCGCCCCACCCTTCCGGTGCTGCCCCCGGCCCGGACCCCCGCCTCAGGGGTCCTTCGCCCCTCAGGCCACGCCCCTCAGCCCTTGGATAGCGGGAAGCTCCCCAGAAGCTGCCGCGCGGGAGGGGAGGGCGGCGGAGGGTTGGGGGCGTGTCCTCCTCGGTCCTGGGCGTCTATTGGCCAGGCCGCGGGCAGTGGGCGGGACTGCTGGCTGGGTCTCGGGCTCCTGGGTCGCCTCCGGGCATTCCTCGCCGCTCCCGCTCCGGCCCTGGCGACAGCGACCTGAGAGTAGCAACTCCGGTTCGGGCATCATGTCTGACAAGCGGCCATCAGCGGAAGCCCAAGGCCGGCGGCTTCCCGACTCCTTCACGGGTGAGCCCTGTGCCCCTGGCGAGGCCCTTGGGGTCACCCGCCGCCCCTTAACCTTCTCGAGAACGAGCCTTAGCCCAAAGGTCCCAGGAAGGTCTCGGATGTTTCTTAGCCGAGCAGCCGCTGTTCAAAACCGCGGTTTCCCCACTTGTACGCTGAGAATGACGAGCCCTACTTCACGGGCTGGGGGTCAGGTTTAGGGATGTTAGGGTGCTGAGTGCAAGCCCAGTGTCCGGCACACTATGGACACTGCAACAGAGGGCGCGTCTCCAGTGCCCACAGCCAGAGCAGGGGCTCGCGTTATCCAGCGGCTGCCAGATGCCAGGCCCTGTGCCAGCGCTTTCCGCTCATTATCTCGTGGCATGCACGCGGACGAGGACGTGCCTGAGTGACTGGCGGCCAGCGAGTGGTGGAGCCAGGCCCAGACCTGCACGCCACACCCGGGAGCCTGCGTCTTTGCCCCACTCCCCCTTCCTTCCTGCCCCATCGGAGGCCAACTCCTTTACCCAAACCTCGCCCACCCCCAGAGTGCGCCGCCGTCCTCCCGAACTAGAAAGAACTCCTACCCCCCACCCCTGCCAATTTCCTATTTCCGCAAGACCGACCTGTGTAGTTTCGCCACATGTTCCTGACACATTTGCGGAAGAAAAGAAGGAAGTCTCTTTTTAGCATCCTTCCTGTATCTCTTTCCAGCTTCACTTTCTGCCCCATTCTGCCCCCTCCACTTCACTTCCTTTGTTCTAGAAACCTCGCCTTCTGGACTTTTGTCCCTCACAAGGAACTGTAAGTTCCCCACCCTACCAGGGCCTTCCCAGTCTTGAAGGCAGAAATTGTGTGAGTGACTCAATTTGTTGCCCTATGACTAGTACCCTTGAGAGGGCTATCACCTAGAACCTTTATTGGCTATCCTTGCCGGGGAGGAGGGATTCATAAAGAGAGGCAATAAACCACTTGGGAGTACTGGTTGCCTCCTCGGGGCTCTTAGTGATCCAAAGGAATTATTTCTGAGGATGGAATTTCAGACAGAATGACATAGTGATAGAAGTTTAAGGGACTGGGTGGGCTTTTCCATCACCCCACAAAGAACACTATACTGGACTCATTTATTTTGATTATTTGTAATGCCAGCCTTGTCCACCGATCCCATATGTCCCCATTTCCTTTCCCCAGTAATCTTTGTCTTTAGTTCCTCCCCAGGAACATCAAAAGAATTACACAAATCTTAATTCCTCTTTTTCTGTACCTTGGACAGTTATTTTCCCAAATCAGGAGTGTGACAGAGAGGATGTACTTGAAGAAACTGATACTCAGAGAAGTTAAATTACTTTAAAGTCACACAGTTTATAAGTAATGGAGTCACATTTGAAGTCTGGGTTTGACTGATTCTAAAACCTGCCCGTATAAAAATTGTGCAGTCCGCCTCTTTGATAGTCAGTTGTCTCTTCCTAGAAAGGAAGGTAGGCAGGATCCTTTCATCTGTACCCTGATGTCCTGGTGGGAAACTAAAGGACTGTGAGGACAATGTTTGAATTTTGGTGAAACTGCAGTGGGAAATCTGTAGAAGTTCTTTGGGAATAAACATGATCTTTGTACTTAATGTTAGTTGTCTTTCATGGTCACAAAACAGCTTTCACTCCTAAACTCTTTTTGTTGGTTCTACACTACTTTTTAGACAGAAGTCTTTTAAAAATCTATTAAAACTGTGCACCCTTTCCTCTGAAAATCATATATACAAACAAAATTTTGCTTGGTCGCTGTCACCTTTTTTTAAAATTTATTTATTTATTTTTGGCTGTGTTGGGTCTTCGTTGCTGCACGCGAACTTTCTGTAGTTGCGGCAAGCGGGGGCTACTCTTCATTGCAGTGCGCGGGCTTCTCATTGCAGCGGCTTCTCTTGTTGCGGAGCACGAGCTCGTGGCATGCGGGCTCAGTAGTTGCGGCTCGCGGGCTCTAGAGCTCAGACTCAGTAGTTGTGGCTCACTGGCTTAGCTGCTCTGCGGCATGTGGGATCTTCCTGGACCAGAACTCGAACCCATGTCCCCTGCATTGGCAGGCGGATTCTTAACCACTATGCCACCAGGGAAGTCCCGCTGTCACCTTTTTAAAAATGTACGCCTTAGAGACCTGACATTGGTAGGAAAACCACTATTAGAATTTATTAAATAGAATTTATCGAGTGCTTTCCATATGCCAAACACAGCCTAAATGCTTTGAAAGCATTATCGAATGCAATCCTCTGGCAGCTCCACAAGGAGAGTGTCATTATCTACCACTTTACAGCAAGAACACGGAGGCTCAGAGTGGAAAAATCACCCACACCTGTGAACGAGGTTCAAACTTGGGCTGATTTTCCAAATCATTTTACCTATGCTAGAGCTGCTTCCAAATTGCATACCCAAAAGGAGGAACTTGTCAAACATCAGTACTTCCCTGAAGGTGAGAGACAGTAAATAAAGCCCAAAGGAACCTGGCTTCAATCAAGACCCCCTGGCTAGACAGCTCCAGAGGGCTGCTTCTGAGAGAAGCAGTGGAATATAAAAGCCCAAACTGCCCCTTTATGATTTTGCTGATAAATAGTCTTAGGAACATAAATATGACCAAACCTAGGGCAAGACTAGTTTTTCTTAAAGCCAGTGCATTCGCTTTCTAATGAAATAATGCAGGTGGATTGCAAAGAAGTGTATGGTTATAATTAAGAGCCATGTCAACAGAATAAATCCCTTTGGAAGAACGCCTGAAAATAAGCAGAATCAAGGGACTGATTTGTTTATTTCAGTTGTTACAGCCGACCAGATTGGGGAGAACTTTGTAACTTATTTAATAATTAATCTGAGTTAAACCATCAATGGTCATAGATTAACTCAAATGACAACTAAGTCTACAAAAGTTGGCATTTATATAATTTTTTATAATTAAATAGGTCATTGGTTCCACCTGATGGTGTAACTTGTACACTGTAAAAGGCAGAGTCACTGATCACCTGGTCAGCTTTGAAGAAAAAAAATTTTAATGTTGATAAAGTGGTAACGATTGGATTCAAAGTCTGTTTTCTAAGAAGATGTGGAAAAACATTTTCCTGAAAATTACTGTAACCAGAAAAAATGAGCACCTCTCCTCTGTGTCTGCCTGGCATCTTGTGCCTACCTCTGTCATAATGTTTATTGCACAGTATTATAAATATCAATTATAGTCACCTTTGTTAGACCAGGAGAGCTTCTGAAAGCAGAGATTGTGTCCTTCATCACTGTAATAAGTTCAGGGTCAAGTGCATAGTAGATTTGCAAAAATATTTGTTGAAAGTAAAAGGAAGCAGGGAGATAATGACACCCATAGAGTAGACCAAGTTGTTAAATGTTTGGCTTACGTTGGTGGAGATGTTCTTCTGTTTACAGTTTATTTTTATTAAGTTTGTTACAACCCAAACTATTGATTTTAGGGTGTGGACATGTTCCTCATACAGATAGACTGTCTGGGTTTATATTATCAATAAAGGGATTATAATTGTTACGATAATATACTGTACTTAAGGAATCTCCTCTTACTTATGAAAGTGTGGAAAGAGCAGTTAGAGGGCACGGTAGAAAGAAGGAAGTGTGTGTCAGTTGCCTGTTGACACACAAATCGCTCCTCCATTCTATTTGAACCTTTGTCTATACTCTGAGCCTCTATACTCTAGATTAGCCTTGAAGATACGAGCAATAATGTGTTTGTCCTAAAATAACAGACAATGAAAATTAGATACCAGCCTTACCTAGTTGTGGATATGCACTGATGGTAGGATGGTATAGGATAGCGAAATGAGAGTGGAATCTCCTATTTGAAGATCTGAATTGAGACCTTGGTAGCATCACTTACTACCTACGTCACTTTGCGAAGTCTCAGCCTCCAGAGTCAGTTCCTCGTCTTCATGTTGGCCTTAATCTTACTGTGGTATCTAGCTCCCAAGGTTTTAAGTATCAAATGAGAAAATTTATATGAATGTACTTTTGAAACTTTAAAGTGTAAATTATTAAGATATTATTTAATGGGGAAAGCAAAGAACAAAAAAGTTAACAATGACCATTCGGGAAGCCTAGTAATTATACAGGAAATTAAAATTTATACACAAAAAGTTGTATAAAAGACGGTCCAGGAAACTTCAGGACTCCAACTTACTTCCCCAAATGTGGTCTGTTTCTCCTCCAAAGACAGTCCCCAAGCAGGTTGTTAGTCGATATTTTCTCTATGGTGTTCAGGTCCCAGAAGGCAATTCACTTAATACAAAGTTTATTCCTATAAACTGTATCAGTAATGACCTTAAGGTTCTGATAATAATAGTGGCTACTATTTACTGAACGCTTCCTAAGTGTCAAGCATTTTACATATTTTCTCCTGTAAGATAATGACTGTTCTCGTCCCTCATTTTACTAATGAGAAAATTTAGTGGTAGAATGGAAATCTGGCACCAAAACTCCAAGCTCTTAGCCACTGTTTAGCTACTCAGCCTCAGTTGAAGAATTGGAAACCTCATGATCTAGTTTCCTTATGCTTCTGTTTCCCATTATTTAATGAAAATGATGTTGCCCTCCAAAGACTTTTAGGAGAAAAACCTAACTATAGTTACTTTTAAGATATCCAAGTAAAAGAGCTGGAAAAAAAAACAACTGAAGAAGTAGAGGGGGTTTTGTTCTGTTTAGTATATTTCAGGCCTAGTCTAAATTTAATTAACTTAATAACATTATGAAATTGTTTTTCTCTCCAGTTTTTCTGAACATAACTATTTTTATCTTTCCAGACATGGGTCATATTCAGCCCATCCTTCTACCTTCCTGAATTCTCTCACCTCACAGGTGAAAAGGGCTGATTTTAAAAAGAGAAAAGGAAAGAAAACATTTGGGGAAAGCATTATGACCACTGCTTTGGGACAGAGGACGATTCTGAACTGTATTCTTTTTTTTTTTTTTTTTAAGTAACATTGGTTTATAAGTTTCATGAATATAACATTGTATTTCTGTTTCTATCTACCTACCGTACAGCATGCTCACCACCAAAAATTGATGAACTGTATTCTGGGATCCTGTATGCAGACATGTAATTTCCATTTATCTTCTGTAATACTCAGCTTTTTCTTCCCCTCCCCAGAAAACAGCAGTATCTGGGAATTCCCTGGTGGTCCAGTGGTTGGGACTCTGCGCTTTCACTGCCGAGGGCCCAGGTTCAATCCCTGGTCAGGGAACTAGGATCCCACAAGCCGCATGGTACGGCCAAAAACAAAACAAAACAAACAAACAAAAACCAGCAGAATCACTCGATTCATTCAACAGCTGTTTACTTAACAAATGTTGTTCAAGCACCTGCTATGCACTTGGTGTCTTCCATGATAGCTCACTTACTCTTCACACTGGCCCTTGAGGGGGTACTCTTATTAGCCCTCTTCTTAGATGGTTAGAGTGAAGCACAGAGAGCTAAGACAAGTGCCAAAGATCACCCAGCTAATAAGTGGCAGAGCCAACTCTGAAGCCTTATGCTATACTACTTGAACAAGACCAAAATCTCATGAAGAAGACACTGAATAAGATAATTACAAGTATGATAAGTAGTATTTAGAGAGGGTGAAGTGCTATAGGTTAGGAGAGGGGACCCTATTAAAGTCTCAGGGGTTCAAATTTAAAATCATTGATGATAGTCTCACCTATTTTTTCCTCCTGTTTTATGGCTAGAAATGTTTGAATGAAGGAAAGCTACAGAAAATCCTCAAGATGCTTGGGAAATAAAATATTTATATTTATTTAATTTCCTGATTCTTCTTTTTTTAAAAACAATAAATTATTTATTTATTTATTTTTGGCGGCATTGGGTCTTCGTTGCTGCACGTGGGCTTTCTCTAGTTGTGGCGAGCGGGGGCTGCTCTTTGTTGCGGTGCGCAGGCTTCTCATTGCGGTGGCTTCTCTTGTTGCAGAGCACAGGCTCTAGGCGCGTGGGCTTCAGTAGTTGTGGCACGCTGGCTCAGCAGTTGTGGCTCGTGGGCTTAGTTGCTCTGCAGCATGTGGGATCTTCCCAGACCAGGGCTCAAACCTGTGTCCCCTGCATTGGCAGGTGGATTCTTAACCACTGTGCCACCAGGGAAGCCCTCCTGATTCTTCTTGAGCTAAGCACAGCATTCCCTTTATTTCAACTTTTATTGAAAATCTTTCTTAAAAGGACTAGTCCATTTCCTCTCCTTACTATCTCATGGTAAACACATTTTGAGTTTTGTAATTCAAGTCACATAATGCTTCATCAGTACTAGTTCTTTTAGTCTAGTATCTACAGGTTTATAATAGGGCGGAAAAGTTATGGTCTTCAGCCATGGTTCTTAACTTGATACCATCTGACCTGTAGCCACTCCAGTCCAGAGCATAATCTCTTCCCTAGAGGTTTAAGGATAAGGGCATTCGAAGAACTGTAAACGATGCCTAATTAAAATAGTCTTTTGAAAGATGGGTTATAGTGTGTGCTTGTTTGCTTTCAAAGCCTCTGCCCAATGAACTGCAAGTTGCGGTCGCCAAGTAAACAGCATCATTTTTTCAACATCTGTTTATTGACACCCTACTATGTGCTAAACTCTGCTTTTCTCCCCTCTACCTGTTTGAATCTTTCTCTCTACAGGATACTGCCTTCGCTTTTGTTGTCTCTCTTCTCTTAACTCCTTTTTTCCATTTCTCTTATTTGCCTTTCCTTCTATCGTTTCCTTCCCTTCTCTTTCTCCTAAGATCCCAGTCATTTGAAAAACTCAGTTATAGTAAAATTTTGATTAATTGAAGATGTATTTATATTCAAATAAAATATTTTATCTGCCCTTTTGCCTGTTTCCGCCTTGAATTCTTATTTATCAGGTCTTTTAAAGACCTTGTTTCAAAACAATTAAAGGGAAGAGAAACTAGGAATCTGGGAACGGTACCCTTACTTGAGATGCCAGAAGAAAGATCAGATGTCTTCTTTAACTTACAATGTCCTCCTCCTCAAACAGATGACTGTATGACATAGAACTGGAATGAGTCGTATGGCCTGTGGACCAAATCTGGCCGACTGCTTGCTTTGTATGCCGCACAAGCTAAGAATAGTTCTTATTATAATTATACACTTTTTTTTAAAAGAGGAAGATTTGAAACTTATATGGAACTCAGATTTTAGTGTTCATAAATTACGTTTTCCTGGAACACAGCTGTGTTCATTCATATATGTATAGTCTGTGACTGCTTTTGCAGAGTATTCAGTGGTTGAGACCAGCTTTCTGGCCTGTAAAGCCTTAAGTGTTTATTCTGTGGCCCTTTACAGGAAAAGTTTACCACACCTTGACATGGAATCTCCAATGAGGAGTAGTTGTGGCCAAAAAGAACACTTGTATGCTGAATATATATGCTTTTAAGAAAAACTCAAAAAATGCCAAGACCTTTCGTTTCGACCTTCTATTGCTC